CAACCATCGCGTCCGACCAAGAGAATTTCATACTGAGAATTCTCTAGAGGGCTAATATAGGAGGGAAAGACACCTTGAAATTCCTTAAAGGAGAATAGATGCTAAAGACTTGGAATAGAGCATACTTCAATATCATTTAAGGAGTAAACATAGAAATATTTTGTATATTTAAGAGAAAATTATACACTTGTTATATTTTCATTTGAAAATAATAAAAACTGTACCTAAAAATTGTACTTAAGTTCTGTCTATAATAAATTTATATGACAAATATGTTAATCAAATACAAAACATTATAATTTATATTAAAATTCAAATAAACATAGAAAACATCATATCTTAAATTCAAATAAACATAAAAAAAAAAAAATTATCATTGCCTACAAATAAAAGATGAAGAAAACAAAGCAATAAATTCTTAAATGATTATTACATTAAAGAGAAAATAGAAGATAAAAGAAAGAAAGAAATGAGAAAAAACAGAGTACACAATAAGAAGAGTAAAGAAAGAAGAACAAAGAAAAAAAGAACTGAGAAGTAAGAAAAAGAACTTCCAAAAATCAATTTGAGAAGAGAGGAATCGGTCAAGAGAGAAAATAAAAGAGAGTTTTCTTAGTTTTAGGGAGAAAATAAAAGAAAGTTTTCTTAGTTAGAGGTGGAAGCGATGATAAATAAAGAGAAACGAATGAGGAAGTGAGAAGAGGAATAATCTGTTTTTTAGGATAAATAAATATGGTTTTTCACATTCAAAATAGATAGCGGGTCGAAACCGCTCCAAGCCAGGAAGCGTTCCACTCCCGCAACCTGCTCCAAGCCAAAAAGCAGCCGCTATCTCAAACTGAGATGTGAACTGCTACATCGTAGCAGCCGACCACTGCTTCGCATTCCTCTGCTCATATCACAGCTTTCTCAGTCAAGAATGTGGAAGACATCAAAATCAAGCGTCTCCAAAGAATGCTAGCCAACATACTCTTCTCAACACATTCCCTTCAATGCACTAAAACTCGACGGGTTTCACTATCTCAAAAATAGTCTCAGAACATAAATGGCAATTGAGTTAGTAAGTAAGCGAGGAGTGTACTCCAAGACACACTTGTCGTTTGGAGGAAGGGTGCTTCAAGAGATTCAAGGAGACAAATATGATGACAAAATGTAGTGTACAATACAATATGATAGAGAAATAGAATGCTATAAATAACAATTTCACAACTTAAATAATCATCAAACCCCACCAAGCTGAATTTTTTTATTGTGTTTGCAACCTGAACAAATCCAATCACTCATTATCTCAAACCAACAAATAGAATTATACTGATTTTACAACTGCGAAAAACCTCAGAACATATACCCCTTTAATGGTAAAACCCTAACATCCCAACCTCTACAAAACTGTTATACCAAAAATAATTCAATCATAGCACCCTGTCACGGAGTTTTGACAAAAATGAAGAAAAAATACCTGCAAATCAAAAGGAAAATAAATCCATTCAGATCAACCGCGTAGATGTCATAATTGATAAAAATGTTTAACTGAATCAAAGAAACTAGAACAAGAAAATTATATAAATGAAACCCAACAAACACTTAGTATAGCATTCTATAAAACACTTGGTATAACCTCATAAAACTTTCAGAGGCTAAAAAAACTTCCCTAAATTTTCTAGCACAATTTAGAAGATCTACTGACATATGAACATGCAGACAAAATTGTAGGATAAGCATCATAATCTTACTTACCTGTCTTGGAATCGAATGTAGAAACCTTCAAAAATATTACGGAAGAATATAGAAGCACTAATTTTGCCTCTATAAAGAATGACAGACTCAATAAGAAAACTTAAAATTGCTCCAGGATCTCATGGAGTCTTGGAACACGCCGACGGAACAATGGTTCAAGTCGGAAAGTTGGAACATCAAACTGCCACCCATCATACATCTCATTCCATGCTTGCACTATGTCGTCAATTTTAAACCCTGTAATCATGAAAATTTGTTTGTCAGTTCCCTAAGAAATTTGAAACAAGAAAGGTATCTGATTAATAAATACACAAACGATGGATAATTTTTCCCCAACTCATACCTTCCATTGCTGTTTCATTAGAGATATGGTTCTTTATCATGACACCGATGTCAGTTGTAGAAGCTCCAGCTAGTTCAAATTTTTCAACTGCAACCTCCAAACATTCCTCCCATGTTGGTAGTCCGAGCTTAAACTCCACAACAGAACGCTCGTACAATAATGTGCCCCATAAAAGATATATCTGTGTCCTCATCTTTGAAGCGTGCTCTTCGGCTTCATCAGAAGAAACATCCCTGAAAAGACCAAGCAACCCCATTTTCTCTAACTGTGCATTATATTTATCTAATTTAGATAGTCCATTCAAACGTTGTTCCTCAATCTCCTCCCACATCAACATCCCTTTCTCCATGCTGTCCTCGGCCTTGTTGTAGAGCTGTAGAACCTCCTCAAAAGGGCCAACTTCAAATTCCTTATTGTTTGCAATTAAATAGCACCAGCATAGCTTTGCTTGCTCAAACTGCTGATATCCAAGAGCAAGTAGTCCATCGTAAAAATCTGGTTTGATTTTCACAGATTCTTCGTATTTCATTTCTGCTTCCTTGTACTCCTTTTTAGCCCACTCATATGCAGCTTTAACATGCTCGAAAGACGCATCTCTCGACCCATCCTCCTGAAAAGGCACTTGCCTCCTCGCTTTAGACAAGTGAACATTCCCCCAGTTAAACAAAGCCAAAGCAGCCATCTCTTGAAACTTATCCGCGGCAATATCAAAAAGCTCTTGAGCACTATCATTTGTCACTGCATCCTCCATAGCCTCTGAATACAACTTCATCCCAACCTCATGAATATCCAAATACGATTCCGAATCAAATCCAACATGATTCTTAAACAGCCTTGCAAACTGAACAAGCCAATCCTCTACAGTAATCATCCTATTAGCCCTGACACCCCTGTCTCCTTCTCCAACCCCATTCCCCACTCTCACCTCACCACTACTCGTCTTTTCATCATAACGCGGCTCCTGATCAAAATCCACCTGCGTAATATATAGCCGAATCGAGCCAAGCACATGACAATCCTCAGCTAACCTTAATTCAGAAGTAGTAGTAATAGTAATCAAATCACCTTCCCTATCCTTATACTTAACAAGAACACCCTTTAACCCCGGAAATCTATCCCTTATCACATCCCTCACCAACTTCATACTACAATTCACAGGCAATTGTGCCCATCTTATATCCTCTCCATATATCAACTTCACAGTCCTAGTAACCGTTTTATCTTTCTCAACAATTTCCTTACTATCCTTATCCTTCATAACCTTATCCTTCATAACATTGACCTTCATAACCTTATCCTTCATAACATTGTCCTTCATAACCTTATCCTTAGGATCTTTACCCTTCACCTTAACATTCACAACATTGGCTTTCTTCTCAACAACCATACTTTTACGTTCTTCCTCACCTTCCCCTTTATGTCCCTTCTTTTTCTTAATCTTCTCATTAACAACTTTCCTAAACCGTGCGGCGGGAGACTCTTGCTGCTGTATAGCAGCCAAGGCAATCTCAGTCTCATCAATAGTAATCCCTTTCTCATCCATAGTATTTCTCAAGCTATCAAGAACCTCCAACGCCGAAAGATTATTCGGCTCAGCATTCAAAACAATTCTAACATCCCTCATAGCCAAATCCAACCGATTCAAAGCTTCATAACACTTAGCTCTTCTCAAAAGAGCTTTGCTATAACGAGGCGAAACCTGCAAAGCAAGGTTGCACTCATTGATTGCTCGAGGATACTCACCAAGACCCAATTGCATATAACACATAGCCATATTTGTATGAAGATGTGCAACATCTATGTGATTTTTGGGAAGGAGTTTGAGGGCTTTTTCGTACTTTAACATAGCACCTTCATTATCCTTTTTCTGGTAAAAAAGTTTGTTACCTTCTTCTCTTAGCTCTTGTGACATGTTGATGAACATAGCTGTATCATCATCTAATGCTTTTGAGGATGATGAACGCTCGTAGCCCTTCTTGTTGTTGTGATTGTTGTTTGCTTTTGGTGATTCATGATCCTTCCTTTTCCCAGCTGGTTTCCCCATAGATCTCTGAATCAATCAAATTCAAATATTAACAATAGTTATAATAAGAATCAATTGAAGAATGAAAATGAATGAAACAGGGAAATTTCAATCTGAAATGAATGAAATTGGAGGGAGAGAAATAGAAATATTACAATTTAGGGTTTGTTTCGATGTTTTTTTGGTTTTGAAGTCAACGTAGATGGAAGGGTGTGGAATAATAATAATGATAATAATGGAGAATAAAAGGGTGGGTGCTTTTGTTCTCGAGGAAAATTGGGGGGAAAGCACCAAACGACACACAAAAATGTGGTCAATATTAATGTTAATTAATTGTGCATCATCCTTTGTTTGAACACTTATTTTTCAACTTTAGTTGTTTTATTTTTTTACATTTGACATGTTCATGTTCACATTCATAGTGAGACAAACATGAATTTGTTCTTGTCCTTTTCACTGTTTTGTCTGCCTGAGAATATTCCTTTATTTCAGTCCTTACAAAAAATTTGCTTCATGGCTTCCTTTTATTTTTATTTTCATGTGATTTTTTTTGCTTATTTTACTATATGTGATAAAAAAAATTATTGATAAATAAATTTGAATAAATAGGCTAGAGTTGAAATATTCAAAAAAAAAATCATTGAACATAAAAAATGTTTTATATTACAAAGCTGGAAAGGGTCCCTATGTAGTTAGTTACAACTGTCAGACACGACCACATCATTGGCATATTTTTTTTTACAACAATACATGTTTGTTATTTCTAAGCTGTCAACAATGATTTATTTTGGTGCCCACCCCTTTTCTTCTTTTATCTTGTTCTTTTCTCTCTTCCAAACAAGGGCTCATATTCACTGTATCATTTCTGGTTTAGAATGTCTGTGGAAGTAATTTTACCTATCCGGAAAACAACTGTGAAGGTGAGATGTTTTGTTTACGGTTCCAGCAGGAAGACAACAAACCCAACATTCCTGTTTCTACAGGCTGTCCGATGTCCCTTTCTCGCTTGTGTAGCACTCTGATGAATTCGTCTGTACTTAGGTTTCCGTCTTTATTTGTATCGAACAAATGAAAAACAATCTCAACCACATTGTCCGAGAGAGATATGCCACAAACCTGAATTTGAAACAAATAAAATATGAACTTGCCATCTTGGCCATATAATCTAAATCAATTTTTTTTTAACTGAAGGATATAATTTGTGAGGATATAAATACTTAGCCCTTAAACATTATTATTAAGTTAAGCATAAAACAAAGATAAATGTCATACATGTGACGCTGCTCGCTGAAAATCATCTCTCGTCAACAGGCCGTTTACTTCCCCAAAACTGAAAAGGGCTAATGAAAATGGAAATAACTTTTTCCTTAGCTCGGCAAAGTTTTTGAAGTCCTCAAATGTGATGCGCATGTCGTTAAAGCATGGATTATTATTCAATTCATCAACCCGTTCAAGCAACTTGCCTAGATGACTCATGTCGGCTGAAGCAACCATGGAAAGTGCAAAGTCCTTGGCTGAAATTGTTTTTCGAGATTTGTAGTCATAGTGAGCAAACTCCAGCTTCAGCATCTACATAAATATTGTGGATTAACTGTCATAGTCTCATAGATAATCACTCGAGCCCACTATAGAAAATGATATTTCGAATATAAGAATTCCCCCTCACATAAGAGTAAAACACTAGAGAGAGGGTGCAAGCTTCAGTAGAGCAAAACTGCCGAGTCCTTCAACAAATCCATTATCCATAAAATAAAATCAATCAAACCCATAATGACATGGTGAGAATGGAACAACTAGAACTTACTTCATCGTGCAAGTCTCGCAAAAATTGTACAAATTTATCAATTTGGAGGCAACCCTTTCCGTCTTCACCAAAAAAGTATTCCAACAGTCCTCCATTTTCCACAGAATCGTTCACCTTCAGACCAGTTCGCAGTCCATCCCTGTGGTGAACACCTTGTCGATGATGAGTTCGCATCAATGCCATCACTTTCTTGAATTCTTCCTTGGTTATCTCTCTATAAATGAGGAGAAGTAATTAACCACGTCAGATGAGGGGAACAATATGGAATGATCAAGCTCCCACAGTACTAAAAGACAATTTAATGTCGCTAGACCTACAAAGTAACGATTTGTGCAGGCCTTGAAGTTGATGCCACAGACAACAAACAAGTAGCAATGTTCTTGATCTATAAACAGTATGAATTAATAACATTGAAGATTCTATACTGACTAGTTATACTAACGAGATAGATAGTGATTATGAGTGGGGGACAACCCTCACCCCATGAGAGCAAGGTCATATGAAGTAACTAACCATAAGAACAAATTTTCCATCACAACTTTACACAAAACCTCAAATGATTAGGTATGTAGGTCAGTTTCCTTAAACCATTTTCATTTAACTCATTCTTAACTTCATGTAAAGAGAGACTTCATCACTTAAACTTGAATTTCCAAGTTCCAACAGTGAGAGATTACAATTTCAAAGAAGTACCATGATCACTCACCCATTATTGTTCACGTCAAACATTTTAAATGCCACAGAAAAGCTTGATTCTGGGATGCTGAGTAGCGTTACAAAAAAGATATACCTGCTTCAGAGAAAAATAAGGTTATTATGGACCCAAACAGACACTACTCATGAAGATCTAAAGAATGAAGAGAAAGCGAAAAGGAGAACAAAACTAGCCAAAAACCCTAGATAAAGTATTAGCGGGTCCATTTATGAACTGCTTGGTCCTCAGACCAGATCCTACTTAGGCTGCTTTGCCTCCACTCTACCGTAGCCCATTTCCCACACCAGGAATAGTTAACAAAAGTTGAAAGACTAAAAAATTAAACTTGTCAGAATAAATAGATCATACCCTCTACACAAAAAACACAGAAAAGGTTACTAATAGAGAACATGATAATTAGAGAGAATATAGTCGACTTACTCTTTAAAAGATATAAGTCTGTCATTGTTTACATCGAAAAGCATAAAAAATTCTGAAGGAGAGCAGCATAAATGGCCAGGGCTTCTTTCTCCTGTCAAGTATCCATCTCTAACAAGGTGAGATTCAGATGGAGGAAAAACAGGAACTACAGCCCTCATTAGGTCTGCCGGCATCATGAGTAGTTCTCTTTGTGGTGATCGATAAGATGCAAAGTATTCAAATACCTTAATGAAAAGGAGTAAAGATCGTCAATGTACAGTACAATTCACACTTCAAAAAGGAACGAGGAAACCATTGTATTCATTCAATGTAATTATGTAATGCAAAAATTATGTTTGGTTTTTCTTTCTTACAAACAAGCCCATGAAGTCGTCAGATTGCTTTGGTATCCAAAATAGGGGAAGAACTACATAGTTCCCTACTAGGCCACAACATTCCCCTTCAGCTAAAAAATATATAAAAATGGGAAAATTGTCTTAGCTTAGTAAAAATTAGTTAGATCTTGTGTCCCATGTAGCCGACCCCACTTAGTGGTATACGCCTTGGTTGTTGTTGTTGTGTCCCATGCCTAATTAATCAGTAATGTCATAACTAGCTATGTTCCAAGTATACGGTTTTAACTAGTTACATATTTGTATGTTAGGGAAACCCTTGAGGAGAGATACTCTCCTATTCTATCCTATTTCTTAATAAAATTGTTATTTTTCGGAATTCTATTATTGGGTTCCTAACGGGATACATATACATATTTTCCATGTTTTAACTTACCATTCAGTAAAATAAAACACAACTTGTCATAAGAACAATCCTTCTTTGAAATCGTAAGGGATGAAGAAACTAATAACTTAAGCTGGACTACTGGAGGATTTGTCAAAGGACGAATATTATTTATTGAACACGATTAAGGATAGGTTACAGATAATTGCTTACGCACATTGAACATAGAGTTCGATAACAATTCATGATAAACATGATTTAAAAGTTGTATCTGAAAGTAAATTTCATTATTATTTGGTTATTATAAACTTTTAAATACAAAAATGAACACATTTCACAATTACAGTATATATTCTAGATTGTCAACAAAAAGTATATAGTACTTTCATCGAACATAGTGTCAAATTTTTGTCTTAAATATAGGCAAATAAAATACCAACTAATCAATTCACATTTATTAGCACTTTTTTTCCACCACAGTATCCGGCCTGGCCCACTAGACCAACTAATCCGGTTCGGGAGTCAGTGTCAATCACCACTAGACCAACTAAAAATTGGTTTATTATCATGTTTGGTTTGGCTATTGAAAGAGTCAAAAGCAATTCTAGAGGTGTAAATTTGATTCTGGAATAATTTTGATGTGTTAGGTTCTTTTAAAAGAGAATTGAGTCTGACTCCAAAAGCAAGAATATGTAGCTAAATTTGTTGTTCAAATCACTCTTACATAAATGTATCTAAAAATAAATCAATTCTGCTAAATAATTCAATTATATTAAAATCAATTCTACCAAAAAAATCAATTATGCACCGATCCAAAGACACAAATTTTGCAAAATCTAGTAATTATCTTAGTACTAGGTGATGATATTTATACCTTTTCGGGAGGACTTCGCAACCGCATGCGTTTCTCATAGTTGAAAAAAACCTTTCTCCTATACGCCTCTGCAATACTTCAACCAAAAATCAAATCACCGTTTAGCATTCTCAATCAATCAAAAAATCCTTACTCAATTTTTCAAAAATTTAATCAAAAAACTAGCGGGAGATAAACTTGCCTCCAAAAATGAAGCTACCAGAAGTTTCGGGAAGGGACAATTTCGCAAACAACGAAGAAGGTGAAAAACGAGATCGATTTTGGTCTTCGGAATTCGGTGTTGACGAGTCAACGAAGGAAGAGAGTGAAGGTTGAAAGAGAGTTGAGTCAAAGTCGGTAGTGTAGAGAAGAAACCCTAGACTGGTGCCGGCGATAATGACGGCGAAAACACCGTTCCGAGCGGTGAGAAGCGATGGGGAAGAAGATGAGGTTGGGTGGAGGATTTGGAGCCGTTGGATTGAGAAGTGTGGGATGAAGGGTGAGATGGATCTTCTGAGAGTGGAAATGAAAGACATGATCGATGTGAAGTCGTGCTTGTTCAGGTGGGGTTAGATGTAGGAATAATTTCACTTTTTTTTAGGCATCACGTGTTCACTTTGTACTTGGATAATTTTATTGGCAAAATATATATTTTTTTTTTCTTAACTTTATCTCGGAATCTATTTTAGTCACTCAATTTTTAAAAAGTTCAAATAGATATTTTATCTATTAAAAAAAGTAACACGTGAATTTTTTCCGTCTATTGATATAAACAGACATTTAACAATATATGTGGATCTACTTTTAACAGGAATCGAACGTATGTGAAAAGATTTGTACCACTAGACTATGTTAAATTTGTTTATTTATTTTACAAATGATTATATATTTTCAATGAGAAAGAGGCAACAAAAAACCCTTATGTTGAACACTCTGCAACATCATGAAGTTTCTTTGATTTATCTTTTATTTGCCGTTTAGTTATCGGTGTGTTAACTGGATATTTCGACTACAAGAAAGTTTAAATTGAGTTGATTATGCTATGAGTAGAATATGCTTCGAAAGAAAATATAAAGAAATATTCACAAAGACTTCGACAAGCAAAGCTAGAGAAAACTTTATGTGTTAAGTGGCTGGTGAAATGGTCTGTGTATGAATCATTAAAACTTATGTTTGAAATATTAAAAGAACACTTTGAAATATCACGTTTTGGCGCTTTAAATAAGGGAATTCAAAATTCAAAAATTTGTTCTTATTTGAAAGGACGCGTGGAGGTTTTAAGGTTCGAAGGTTCATGCAGGAATTGAACGTGGCGATTCGTTGTTAAGAGACCGTTTGGTCGAAATTAGTATAAATAAGGGTCTTAGCGTTAGGATTCAGGATGTTCTCATCTTTGTACAAATGCTCTATATTACTCAAAGTATCAGTGTTAGATAAACGAGTTATCTGAGAAATGTACGTATAATGCACGATTTTTCATTCAATGCCATTTATATTTAATCGAAGTACTTTATCATTTCTTTAAATTCATGTTACCAGTTTCTTTACATTTGATTTACTTTTAAAGTCATTTTACATTATCACTTTCGAAGACGTGAAGTCTCGCCGAAAGGTATAACATATAAGATAAACAAAAACTAAACACATATCCTTAGGATCAATATGGTCGATCCTGCAAGTAACCAAATTATTTCTTCGATTTAGAAGACCAACATTTGTTTACCAAATTCTAGGGTAAAGAAATTGGCACGTTGTTGTACCTCAAAATTTGTTCTCCCATTTTCTTCAAAAAAATAACATGCTCATAAAAGGTTTTAAATACTCAAAAGCTACTCAAAAGTTGGCCAGTCAAAACTCCTCTTAAGCAATGAGTCCACAACTAGGGTTTGGTGTTTCTCAAGGAAGTTTGGGTTTCAAAGGTCTCAAGTGATTTCCATGGTTCTCCATAGGTTTTCAAGAATGCTTATATCAAGTTTCGAGTCTTGCATCACAAATTTGCTCAGTCAATGACTCAGATGATTGAAAGTCAATTGTATTGGGTAAAAAATCAATTATGGTCAATATACAGTCAAACTTCAAGATTTTTGGTCAACATCAACACTTTGAAGTGATATTCATCATTTTATTAAGGGTTGATCATGATTCCTCAGGGAAAGCCTTTAAATCATCAAAAGTCCAAAGTTGTCAAATTAGGGCTTCCTTAGGAGAGATCAACTGATCTTTGGCCAGGCATAACATTCACATGCTTCATCATAAATTTCCCAACCAAAGCCCATTTTGAAGGAAGTTCAATTCTCTACAACTTTTTTTTCGTACTCAAGTCCAAAAATGCTTCATTTGAAAGATATGAGCCCATACATTATAGGTCATTTCAAAAGTCAATAAAAAGATATTTTTTGTCAAGACAACTTACATCAAGATAATATCTCCAAATGCAAAAATGATCACAAGAGAAAGTGTAGAGGACATCTTGAGCTTTTCAAAAAGTCCAAGATCACCTTCAAAAGATGAAAATTGAGCAAGTTATGAGTTGCACAAGTTGAGAAATTTTGAGGAAATGAATGAAATGCAAAATGAGCAAACTTGAGGTTTTGTTCTAGTGGGCCTAACTTTTGATATTCAAACATGTTCATAAGGTGTTTGAGGACCCCTAAATCCATTCACATATTTTTTTTTATTTCTTCTATTTGAATTTTTATTCATTTAAAAGCAAATAAAATAAAAATAAAATATGAGATAATAGTGCGAGGACTTGGGCTTTTGTTCCAATCATTTACAGGCCCTATACAGCTCATGCTAGCCTGTCACAACCTTTCCAAAAACGTGAAAGACTCAAAATAGGAAGGAAAATCTCAAAATTAGAAGGTTTTTAACATGTTTGATCTTGTTGGATTAGAGCCATCATGGCTTGATTTTATTCCATGTTTGTTAAGGCATTTCATTCCTCTATATAAAGGCAAGCCAAGCAGATGCAAAAGACACAAAATACTTGACTAAAGAACCTCTTGAAAAATCCACAAAATTCAAAGAAGTTGCAAAAATCCGTAGCCTAACTTCCAGCCACTCTCGCTTGAAACTAAAACCAGCAATACATTCCTGAAGTCCTCAGGAGTTCTCCAAAGTCCAAGATCAAGCCAAAGCCTATCCAGAACGCGACCTCTCCATCACGCCGGTTATCAAAGTTGGTAAAATTCAAAACTTTGATTTCTTGCGTTTTCAGTCATTGCTAATCCATTTGATCTTCTCATGTGCATCATTAGAACAAGACTGACGTGTTACATGTGAAATTTGACGCTAAAATCGTGCTTCACCATTGTTAGGGATCAAAAAACCATTGAGCATTGAACCAGATGATACAAGCATGCTCAATCCTCATTAACCATTCCATTAAGATCGCAACTTGTTAATTAGTGGATTTAAGTCTTTAGATATGTTGTTTTAACGTATTTTTGCAGGTTGAAGGAAAAGACAATCGGAGAAGATGACCGAAGCTAGGGCTATGGCGCTTCTCTAGTTATTGGTGTTTTTTCCGATTTGTTTTTATCATTTGATTCATAATAACTGATGTACCCAAAAAATTTCCCTCCCTTTTTACTCAACATATTCCCATTGAGGTCCCCAAATTGCCCAAGGATGACCAAGAATTGACCAGACAAATTCTCCTCCTAAGGCAATGAACCCCCAACTAGGATTTCAATTTTCATCAAGATGTTTGAGTTCCAAATGTCTCAAATTCTTTCCATGACCCTAATATGTCTTCAATATTATCCATGCCAAATTTCATGCCTTGCACAACAAGTTTGCTCAGTCAATTGCTCAAATGTTTGAAAATCAACTGTGTTAGGTCAAAAGTCAACTGTGGCCCATGTACAGTCAAACTTCAAGATTTTTGGTCAACGTCAACATTTTGAAGTAATATCATCATTTTATCAAGGTTTGATCATGATTCCTCAAGAAATTCTCCTAATTCATCAAAAGTCAAGAATTGCTAAATTAGGGTTTATATAGGAGAAGTCAACCAAACTTTGACCGAGCATAACTTTCTCATACTTTATCAGAAATTTCTACACCAAAGCTCATTTTAAAGAGAATCCAATTCCCTACAACTTCTTTTCAGCCCTCAATATCAATAAATACACCATTTGAAAGATATGAGCTCAGACATTACAGGTCATTTTCAGAAAGTCAACAAAAGGAACTTTTTGTCAAGACCATTTAAATCAAGATAAAGTCTTAAAATGCAAAATTGGTAAAAAGAAATATTGAATTATACATCTTGGGCTTTCCAAAAAGTCCAAGATCATCATCATGAAATAAAAATTGAGCAAGTTATGGCTTTCCCAAGTTGGGAAAATTTTGGAAAATTCAAGAATGGTGCATTGAGCAAATTTGAACTTTTAGGGAAATTGCCTACCTTTTTGGACTTCAAACACTCTCATGACCTTATGAAGGACCTCTAAATCCATTTTTGTATGCCTTTGATTTTATTTACATTTATTTTGATTTTTGTTTAATTTAAAAATTAAATAAATACAAAATAAATGCATAAAATAATAGGTTAATATTTTGGACATGTGGGCTAGTGTTTTGGGTCAGTCTTGAGGCCCATTCTTCTTACACAAATGTCCAGATATATGCTAGCATGGAAAGGGCGAGTTTTGGCAAATTTGGGAGCTTTTTTTATTTGTTGGATTTTGGTTTGAAAACATGAGTTATGGCATTGATTCTCTCCATATAACCTTGTCTCTCCCTTGTACCATATAAATACATCATCTTGGCAAGCCAAATATACTCCTACACACTGTACAAGAGCGCTACCAAAATTGCAAAGAATTGTCCAAAATCGTGAAAACTCAAAATCATACTTCCAGCCCTTTTTAATCCGATCCAAGGACTCCATCAACATCCCAAGACCTCCAGGAGTTGAATCCAGTCCATATCCACGCCTAAGATACCCTGAAAGTGACCAACCAGATCACTCATTTTTTGGTAAATTTCTTGAATTCATATCTTTGATTTCATACTGAATTAACCTTTCTCAGTGTTTGATTCGTATTCGGGACGATATATAGAGCAGGACCAACGTAATACATGTGAAAAAAGGATCTAGAACAAGATCGTTCCATTTCTAGGGCACGATCTGTGTTCTTCACTATATCTCATGTTACAGGCTGTTCTAGAGTGAATAGACCCCATAATCAGATTCAGGGGAAAATTTTGTATGGGGTGGAGATCTTTGCATCCATTTATACTCATGTTTGCTGACTTTTGTAGGTTTAAGTGACCGGAGAAGACGACCGTAGTTTGACTCTGGCGTCCCTCCGGTTGAACATGCTGTCATTCCCTCATTGGCCAGTCAAAGCAGTGCGCGTGTTTTTGAATTTCAAATAATAGTGTTGATTTTTCTAATATAATAATTTTGTTTTATTATAAGTAACAATTGAAACAATGGCTCAGCTGGCAATGAGGTGTGTATGTAAGGGAGAGGACCTAGGTTCGAGTCCCAGGTCCAGTGTTTTGCATTTTTATAACATAT